CCAACTCATGCTGTAAAGATGCTATACAAGTTTTGTGGAAAGCAATGAAGAATGAGAGCAGATGGAAATCACTGGTGATCTGCAGCATCAGCTCACTGGATGGGTTCAGCCTATAAGCTACATTCATTAAAAAGAATCAGTATGGAAAGCTAATGAGCAATTTTGGGCAGCAGATACAGGCCACAATCTTGTAAATAATTTGGAGCAAGCTGCCCATTTAAAGTATTTTTAGCCACATTCATCTCAGTTCTTCATGGCTCTGGTGTTCTACATGTCCCCAAAGTGCTGTAGGGTCAAGACCTAGTAAAAAGTACTGATTTCACTCATAAAAAATATGAAATACATAATTATATTGGCAGAGGAACTACCAAAATCTAATTTCCTGTGATTCACTTGCTAGCTCTCACTCTTGCACATGCTCTTTTTGTGTATTCTTTAATAATGTGACTGATAATGTTAAATTCCAGCTGTCACTCTCTTGAGTTATATAAAGCATCACTGATCATGGGCAAGCTCTTAATGTTTTCAGTTGTCACTGACACTTGTAAGAAGCAGCCAAGAAAAGGTTCTGTCATAATAATTTCCTTTCTACAGGGTGTGGCCCACCTGGAGCAAATTGAAGTACCAGGAGAAAGTCAGCCCAATAGGAATTCTGTAAAAGAAGCCATGGATGTATTAATGCAATGGGTCCTACACCCTGGGTAATCTTTTTTCCTGCTTCCTGCCCACGACCAAAGGGATTAGAAAATGTGGGAAGGAAAGGAAAGGAAAGGAAAAGAAGAGAGGTGTTTTTAAAAGCTGCAGAACTAATCACATCCATGGATCTCCTGAGACAATAAGATCCCATATGATGTCCAGTGAGGGGTGAGCTGGCCTGGATTGTCCTCCTCAATGGGGTATTGGTAGTTTATCCAGTGGAAAAAAGAGCCAAAGTTTATTGTCAATCTTGAGAACAGCTGATGACAGGGATCACATCTAAGCTCTGTGATCTCCCAAACCAGGCTGGTTCCTGTTCCATATATCAATCCACCCTGTGTCCAGCATTTTCTGGGGCAGGAATTTCTGGACTATAGCAAAAACATGCCATAGCTTATATTTACACTTGAATGGTACAGAGTATTATCATGTACCAAAGCTCAGAAACTTGGCCTGGGTCTCTCATTTATTTATTTTAAATGTAACTACAAGGTTATTTTCCTGTATGCAGTCGTGGGAACTTATAGAAATCTTGGTGTTATTCTAGGAGAATAAGTTGGATTTATTTGACAGAGATAGAATACTTTATTATATAAAGCATAATATGCTTTGCCCATAGTTGGAAGAAGCAGCAACAATTTGTGCCATCCATCCATCCATCCATCCATCCATCCATCCATCCATCCGATACAAAACTGGAGCAGCAAACTTAGACCAAATAAGTTTTGGGGAAAAAATTGTACTATATTTAAGGTAATTGTATTAACTTGAAAGAAGAGTGACATTTCCAAGAAACCTCAGTAATACCAATGACATCAACAGCTTTCTGTGCTTTTTTGTCCTTTTAGCCATCATATCTCTTGCTAAGAATAAAATTCAGACCAACTTTTTAACAGATTCATAACAGCTTGTGCATCAGGACATATTTGGCAGTATGTGTCTGACAGGAATTTTTCTGCCCCCTAGAAAATTTCTTCTACATATTCATGCATTTCCCATTGAAAGAAACCTGATTCTTGGCCAAAACGAAGCTTGTTAGCAGACAGAACAGGAGGGGTCCTTCTCCCTGCTGCACCTCCGATTATCGTAGATTTTGCATCACACGTGGCCTCTGCAAACAGATGCTCTCAAACCCAAATTACTCTACTATGGAAATGGTTTATAACTTGAAATGTTGCCAGTTCACTGCATTTTTTGAAAGATTCTTTTTAGACTTTTGTGTAGCATTCATAGTTTGTGGGAATTTTTTCAGCACCACCTGTCTATCAGAGGTGGTTGAAAAAAATCTGTGTTTTTTAAAAAGTCCAAAATGAAATTGATAAGATCAATTTTTTCTTTTAACATGCTTTCTTCTTTTGACAAAGATCTCACAAATATATTTGCAAATAATGAAAAACAGAAAGGTAATTGAAAATTTTAATTTATCTGAGAACACTTTCATTAAGAACTGTTTTCTAGTATAGTTTTCTGCTGAATCTTTTTTTTTAACAGCCACAAACACGGTGAGGAGAGTGACATAGTCACAGAAAGGGCTCAGATTTTTTGGGTACTCAGTACCAGCTGCTGCTGAGCTGTTTGTGTCTGGGGTCAGTGTGGGGAACAGAGACAGGAATGAGCTTCCATGTGGGTGAGAGCTGTCAGCACCTGCTTCAGAAAGGATGACAGGAGAAGCAGTGTAGCCCAACCTCTTGCTTAAAGCAGGGGCAGCCCTGAGGTCAGATCAGGCACTTCAGGACTTTGTCTAGTCTGGTCTTGAAACGCTCTCTGGGTGGAGGTCGCACTGTCCAGGCAACCTGTTTAGACACCTGACTGTCTTCAGGGGGAAGAAGTCCTAATTCATATCAGGCTGAACCTCAAACCTCAGCCCTTGCAACTCAAACTTGTGGTCTTTCATCTTCACACCAGACAGCACAGTGAAGATCTAGAACCATACTCTTGAAAACCTCTCTATAGGTATTGGAGACGGCCTTAGGGCCCTCCTACCAAAGCCGTCCCTTCTCCAGACTAACTATCCCAGCTCTCTCAGACCCTCCACTCCAGTACAAACCATCACACTGCCCCTGGACCAAACTTGCCGCAGTTTATCAATGATGTCCCTGTACTGGGGAAGTAAATACTGGGCACAGTATGTAGTCACAGGGTAACAAGCATTGAGGGCTGAGAAGCTGTCTTTTAAGTAATTGACCTGTAATGAGCCTGTTGTCCTGTTGTGGTCTGAGAGACCTGTGAGATATCACTTTGCTCCTTCTGTCCCTGTGGCAGTGGCTGCTCCCCATAACCCTCAGTGACAGAAAATATACACATGCACTTCAGCTGTGTCAGGGCAAAGGGGGCTTGACAAACAGCAGTAACGAGGAGCAGGAGAAGGCCACATACATGTCCTCCTCTGCCTCCCCAGCTATGGAGGGTGGTAACATTCAGCGGGCAGGAGGGCTGGAAAACATCAGCTCTCATGTTAAGTACTTTAGCCATAAACTTCAAAGTGCTTTCCCAAAAGGAAGTTGGATTGCTATTCCGAGTTTACAAATCAGGAAGCTGAGGAGAAAGGGAAGGAAGTGTTTTGACCGAATTGATCCAGCAGCTGCTGGCAGAGGTGGGCAGATAGTCTGAGTGCTCCCCATGTACTGCACTGCCTCTCAGAGCAGGGACCAGCGCTGGTTTCCTCAGGCACACAATCCATGAGTGCTAGATGACTTGGTACAATGGTAAATTCCCACATGGAAATCAGGCTGGTGACATGACAACAACAGCCTTCAAACTGTGCAGATTTGTGGCTTCAAAGTGCGAGTGCTGATGAGAAATACCATGAATTAGTCATGATCTTATCAAAAATATTTTATTTATGAAAGTAGCAATTATAATATACAACCTATACTGGAAGGACATTGAATAATTGCTAGAATAAATACAGGCAATTTATTCAATCTTTTTATAGAATGAGAAGATTTATTTGACGTCTGAATGTTAACCCAAGCTTTAACTTACATCATAAATAGTTAAAAGGCATAGTCAAGTTTTTTTTTTTATTTTTACCATTTCTTTTGCTTTTTTTTTAATACTGTTCTATTTTGTAATTACCATGAATCAAATCTCCAATCATTAACATAACATCAATATGACTTTCAAGCAATCATGTACCTCAAGATAATCAGACAAATAAGGTAGTGTGTGTGCAGTTCATTCTACAGCAGAATCTATTCATGTCTGCATAAAATAGAGAAGCTGAAAACGCTTCTAAGTTCTTTAAGCATCATATGCTGATTTCTGCTTTACCACAGTGCTTTTAATACCAGAATCTAAAAAGGGCAGCTGGCTTTCTGTTGCTCTTTATAGAGTATATTAAGGCTCAATGCCACATTCCTTTGGCTGGTGAAGGACTGCAGAATTTAGTCCTGAATATTGTTTCTCAAAACCATGGTCCAAAATAAATGTCCAAGACTGATTATTAGGCACCAAGGAACTGATGAACTTGCTAAGCCTTGATGTTTTCTGAATAAAAACCTGGCTTCCTTTCTAGTAGATATGTTCTAGTCAAACACAAATTATTGGGCTCGGTACTGGGGTCTGTATTACACTGGACGTCAGAGAAGTTGATGTTTGTATTTACTGTAAACTATATGAAGGGCACTGCAGAAATTTTATAGTACATCACACACATTTTGAAAGTGTTGATAAGTTTTTCCTTCCATGTATTTTTTTTTTTTAAATAAACAATCTGAACTATCTGCTTGGTACTAGCAGATTATTAACAACTACAACAATCAGTGAAGTCAACAGCACTTTTGGGTGCCCAATATTTTTCCAGATCAGAAATTTTTGACTCCTCAAGTCCCATATAAAATCAGTGGGAGTCTTTCTATAGCAATGTCTTTTCCAGTGGCACAGAGGCCTGCCTTGCCTTATGGTTTATTGTGCATGCCAGGGATATTAAGCTCTCAGGAGAGAAGCAAATTTCCCTTTTAAAATGTTATCTAAACAAAAACCCCAAATTGCACATATCTACCCCTTTGGCCTTTTTTATGCACAAATATGCTTGTATGCAAAACCTGACAAAGTTGGGCCGTTCCTAATAAATGTTTTAAAAGAGCACATTTAAATGTTTTTTCACAGAAATAACCATTCATTAGTTGCAAAAATGCAGAGAGACTTTTTAGTTGCAAAAATGCAGAAAGACTTTTTATTTTTTCTGTTGTGAACAATGTCATTTCAGCAGAAATTTGTGGGGAGAAAGTTTGATTTTTTTTTCCCTAAATATATTTAAAAAGGATAAAGAACAAAATGTTGGGGAGGCAGCTTTTTTTGGCAGATAGTAAAATATAAAATATGTGATTTAAAAAAAAAGTTGGCTTAAAAATACACACACACAAATAATACAATAATATAAAAATACAGCTCAGCCAATGGCCTCTTAAAATTTACCTTTGGCATTACATTTGGCAGCCTAAAACAAAAGACCCTTCCTATAAACAGAACTATAAAAAAAGAGAAGTTCATAAATTAGGTTGCAAGGGGTTTTAAGGTCCTTTTCCAAATTCTCCAAACTCCTTTCTTTTCTGTCCACACACATAAGCATGACCAGTGAGGTATATAGAACGTAACACTGTCAGGCGTATGCACAATAAAAAAGTGCATAAACATAGAAGTTCTCCCATTTTCTTGCGAACAGGTCGAAACTGTGTGGTTTGCGTCTCTTGCCCCCCTTGGAAAAAAAAAATATTTTGTGTCTTTTTTTTTTTTTCTTTTCTTACTTTGGCAGGATGAAAATGAACCCAGAGGAATATAAGTGTCCTGTTCCCAGCAGCAGCGATCCATTTCCCTTGGCAACATATGTCTGATGCCACAGATACTACAAGGTCGTTGGGTTGCTTTACAACTCTGGGTAACTTCCCACAGAAACATCATACGTCTAGCACCATGTCGTAGTGTTGTTGCTCTTTCTTCCTCCTGCCACATTTGTTGATAAGAACCATGTACAAAGTCAAAAGCATAACCCAGTAACATGCATAGAGTATTGTGCCAATGATGAGAACTGTCTGTTTTGACTCGGTAAATGGCTTTTTTGATTCCTTGTAAATAGTGAAAATTACACCACCTAGGAGGATTGTAAACCAAATGGAGACTGGAATAAGTCCTATAAAATTTACTACAATGGTTTTCCTTCCTGATGTGCCCCACCCTGCTTTGTTTATCGTGGCAATTGCAAACATCTTTGCTGGCAGTAAACTTGACATGTACAACACTGAGTAGAGTGACATGAAAACCATGACAATGTTGCCCCTAAGGAAGCTGGCAAAGGAAGACTTTATAAGGCCAACTAACTGAACTGTCAACAGGAAGAGGAGGATGTTCCAGATTTTTCCCCTGTAGAAGAGCTGAATGACTGTGGCGATGAGGAAGAAAGGAAAGAATCCAGTGATTACAGCTTCATAGGTCATCCACAAATGGTGCTTGTGGAACCACATTGCATTATAAAGCCACTCTCTAAAGTAGGATTTACTCCAGCGTGTCTGCTGATTCAGCCACCTGAGATACTCTATCGGTGTTTCGGTAAGGCACTTGGATCTAGCGGTGTATTTTGTTGCATAGCCCAGACTTAGCACTCTGTTAGTTAGATGCCTGTCATCTCCAAAGCTGCACTGGGAGCCCATAAATTCTTGATTGTACCAATCTTCCACAAATTCATGGAGTAAAGAGTTTCTGTACATTCCCAGAGGTCCGCTGATGCACTGTACACAGCCGAAGTAGGACTGACAGGCTCTTTCTATGTTAAATGCCATCCAGTATCGCACGCTGCTCAGAAAGGAGATCCAGGAATCATATTTATTCAAAATCTGCAAAATAAAAAAAGTTTTCATTTTAGATGAGCTCTTGAGACAGAACACATGAACATTGGATTGACAAGAAATTTACAGAGACTGGAGAACCATTGGACCAAATGTGGTGCGAACCTCACTCCTGAGCCCAGATCACAGCAAACCCAAGAGCTATGCAAACAGCTCAGCCAGAACATTGACAGGAAGGGGGAGATGAAGCCTTCAAACGTATGTTCCACCAAGATGTTTTCTTTTTCCTCGCACACTTTCCTTTTTCCACCAAGAAACTTCCTTCTTTTCTGTCTTGTTCTTCCTTCTCCTTTGCCCCCACTTAAAGACCTGCTGGACTCAGACATGTCTAAGAAGAGCTGGTGGAGTCCCAGACATGGCCTCCTTCTGCTCTTCTCCCCACACCCATCTTTGGAACTCACAGTTCTTCCAGCCTTCCTAAAGTTCTTGTGCAGGAGCATGAGAAAAGCTGAGCACATGATCTTTGCCCTACGTTTTTGGTATTGTGAGACCCCAGAGGTTTGACCCTGGACTGTTCCCATATCCAACAGTAGGCCCTCTGAAGAACAACCTATTCTGCCTCTGCAGTACCAGCCCTGTTACTTTGTCCCAAGACATAAGGTGATATCCCAGTAGAGTCTGCAATCCTTTGGCCTGCATAAAGCTTTCAGTCTTTCTCTTCTTCACACTCCAAAGCTCACCTGAAGCTCAGACCTACACTTAAAATACAACATGGGCACAGTCTAGGAGTAGAACACTCGGTGGAGGTACGAGTGCCTGCAGATGTACAAGTCCGAGGCTTCGCATCCAGGTTCTCAGCACACAGCTAAGGATGCAGCAAGGAAGTGTGTGGCAGGGTGGCTGTGCCAGCTTTGAACCTACATCTTCTCAGTGTGGGGATTTTCAGGGGGACTTGTGGCCTTCTACAACTAGAAAGCATTGCCCAGTAACTAAGTAGTCTCTTGTTCTGATGGCCCTAATTTCTGTCAAAGGCCATGGGCCAATCTTGTCTCTGTTTCAGTTTAATTCCACACCATTTTAGAAGCAGTGGGGCTTGGAGATAGGCTCGAGCCTGGCTCAAATGTATTTGGTGTATGCTGGAAAATGAACAGGGGAAAAAAAAAAGCCCAGAGCCTTCATTCTGTCACCTTTCCTCCCAGAGGAAACATGTCTTTCCTACCTCTCTCTGCAGATGCTTATGAATGTTCACTGTCACAGCTGAACCTGTACTGCTAGCCTGCACTTGTACTCACACATGTCTGGCATCTCACATGTGTTGGGTGAGTGTGACACCTGGTTTGTAGTCAGTCTGGAGCTCCCAAGTTATTCAGGTTTCTGTGGGAATCCTCATTTCTGGAGTTGAGAGCCACATGCCTGAAATACTTCTGACTACTGGGACATTCATTAGTAATTGCTTGCCCATATAGATGGCCCTTTCTTCTCTGTCTCACATAAAAAGCCCAACGGAGTATGGGGGACTGATCCTAAGGCCATTTGAAATATTCATACACATTTTTCTTTATAAAGTGCAGAAGAAGGAGTTGTGTCAAAAGGAACCAACAGTCTTCTGCTGCGGCTGTCAGCCAAACTTGGCAATGCTGGAAATCCTAACAGATGTGGAGCTGGTCTGACGCAGGAGTTTTCCATTGCCCTGCCTGCCAGAGATGCAGGGGAAACCCAGAGCGCACAACATTTCAAAATGGCTTTTATTTTTAACAATCTTGACTGACAGTGGTAATATAACAGAAGTACTTGAGATGCTGAACGTGGCTTTGGGAGACCTGTTCTCAATTCCCTGCTCCCCTGGAGCTTTGCTTTGGTGCTTTGGGCAAGCAGTTATACCCAGAGACTCAAAAATGTCACAACAGTCCTGATAATGCCAGTGCCCTGCTTTTTACATATAAAGGACAGAATAATATTTGTTTGCTTGCTGTGGGTGTTAAAACCACACAGTGCTCACATACAAGAGTAAGAGTTTCCATTCAATGGACAGAAAGATTAAGGTATGATAAGAGCCTCTATAATGGTATCACCTATTTTATATATATACATATAGTATATACACATCTAGTTTATTCAACACTATTCCAGGCAGGGAAATCTGTTGCAATGCAAATAGTTGTGGAACCCCCCCTGTTCTATCTGAAAATTGTACTCACCTGCACATCACCTCCAACTCCTCCAACCATTGGATCTTCTTCTAAAACCTTTACCATCTCCACTGATGAGGCTGGATCAAGCATTGTATCTGAATCACAGACCTACAAGTAAGACAAAACAAGAACAAAAATGGGTTAAGGAGTACACTAGAGAAGAAAATAAAAATTATGCAAGTGGTTATAATGACTCTAAGTGCATATTCTCCTGAATGCAGTTAAATCTGACTTTGGAGACTGCATTGATATTTCTGTTAAAGGCCATTTGTACCAGGTGGCAAGAAGTGGTGCTGAATGAAACAGAGACCTTGTTAAGGCTGTGCCCTCCAACAATCCTCTCTTCTGTATCAGATCTGTTTGTTTTCCTGACACACTGGGCTGGCTTCACTGAATGAGATATGGGGCACCACAGAGTAAGATAACATTTGTGGGTGTGCAGCAGATTCCTGTTGAGCCCTAGCATACGGTTTCCCTGCATCAACTGCACAGCTGGAAAACTCTGGTCAAATGTTTCCCACTGCCATATGAGGGAAGGAGTGAGGAGGTAAATTCCAGACACTTGTTATAAAAAAAGAAAGAAGAAAGTCAAGTAGGAGTCTGGGAAGAAACCTAATAGTTCTTTCACTCACAGAAGGTTTTAGCAATTCATGTAAGGTATGTATCTCGGATTCCAGTGCAAACTCATTTTTAATTTTAGATGTTTGGTGAGTTATTAGTAGTGCTGTGACTTGACATTTGATATATAGAAATTATTTGCTATTTTTCTCTGGCATTCTTATAAAAAATATGTAAGGCCAGAAGGAGTGAGTCCCGAAGTTCAGTACTCCACAAGACCAGGGCTGAAATAGATGACATACACAAGGCATTTCAGCTACACAAACACTCCTAGTCAACTAAACTCTGTGTACATTAGGAAATTGGCTTTCCCCTGGAGAGTAGGAGGAGGGCTCAGACAGGCTGGCCGGTCTGCGAGGCAGCTGGCATTGCTTTCATTTGCTCTGAGGAGAACAGCATGGGCTGCAGCCTGTTTAAAACAAGTGGGTGTCTCCTTGTCGCAGTTGCTGGTGTTGAAAGCATCGCCCACATCATGTGTGAACTCACTTCACAGACACCCAGGAACTGGAGCGGAGACTGTCCCAGAAACAATCCTCTGACTGGTTGAATCCAGACCTACAAATTCTCATACTGCTTCCAGTTTGCCCCCACACTGACTCTTGTGATTTCAGATGGGGTCAATAGGTTCTAAAGTCAGTAGCTCTGCGTGAACAGCATATTAAGACAGATTCTGCTGAGGCTTTGTATCAGATATCTTAATTTTGGTGTTCTTCTGTGCAAACTTTCAATTCAACCCAAGTTCTCTCACTACAGGGGAGCAATTACCTTCATGTCTGGTCTGTAAAGGGGGAGGAGAGCATTTTGAGGCTCAAGACTAGGCTCAAGAGGAGAGGTTACCCGAGATAGTTGGGCTGCACAGCTTGGATGCAGGGGGGAGTCTGCCAACATGCTCCCCTCCATGCTCTCTCAGAGGGGGCCTAGAGGATAAAGGTCATGAAAGCTCTCATATTTCCATCCAAAGCAAAGCCACAAGCATCTCCAGCTTGCACTAACTTGATGAATCCATCTCCTCTCCTCAAAGGACTCTTCCCAAGGAGCACCTTTGTAACCTGGCCAAGATGTGCCTCCAGCTGTAGTGGAAAGCTGTCATCAGTGGCAGTGACAGTAATAGAAAGGGAGCAAAACAATTCTACTGAAACAGAGAAAGGATGCTTGTATTTCACCAGGGGCTTCCTGGAAAGACCTGTTGCTGAGAGTTTTGCACAGGTAATCTGTAGTTTGCTGAATTCCCAGGGTGCTCAGGCAGATTTAGGCACTTCATTTCTTGTGACCATGAGTGGTGGGCTGGGATCAGCTCCCTCCCCAGCTGCTTTGCCTCCAGCAGCTGTCCCTTGAGCAGCCCCCACCTCATCAGATGCATTTCCCTACAGCAGAAAGGCCTGCCCATGAGAACCATCACTAACATGAAATGAGGAAAACACTGGATTTATTTACAAGTTACCATTACATGTCCTGGACATGCCAGCACAGTGGACATGTCTGGGGTTCTGGGACAAACCTAACAAGCCATTATTTTCCATCTGAATGAGGTTTTTGCATGTGAAAAGAGGACACTCCCAAAGACAGACACTCAGGAACCCAAATAAAATCCACTGAGGTCTGTCCAGCCAGGGGTGGCCCAAGACAGCCCAAGAGGCAGTTTGCCATCTTTCCACATAAGGGCTGAGTGACCTAAAAATTACTGCCTTGGGTCACAGAGTTGCATGAAAGGGATGGTTGACCTTAAGTGAGCTGTTAGATACTTTTTGTAGCCAGTGACAGCTTATCCAAGCTGCTTTGAGTTCAGCCTGTGCTGGACTGTCCTCATAGGTACCTCCATCAAGCCAAGATGAATTGCACCCTGGCTGCCCCAACCAGCTCTGCACCAATGACATCTGCCAGTTTAACTCCTCCACCTGATTACTTGCACACTGCTAACCTCCTCCAGGATGGAAATAAGCCTTCACAGCAGTTTCAGGTACTGAAGGAGTGAAACACTACTAATGGCAACAGCTTGTTATCTGCACTGGTCTGACAGCTTATGATTGCCTCTCCAAAACCCCAAGCTGTCTTTTAAGAACCATACAATTTCAGGGCCTACAATTTCAGGGGGGACAGTGGTGCTGAATGGTCCACTTTTTAAAGTGCTTGATCACTGATGCAGATTACTTAGCCTTTAATATGTTGGGCCTGTTTAAAGTAATTTACCCTGGGTGCCCCCCCAAGAACCATTTAAAATATCTCAGCCTTCATTCATTCATAAAACAAAGCCACATTTTAGCTACATTGCTTCATGACTGTGTAGTATCCAGGGCCACCAAGGTGCTGCATTTCTATTACAGACGTAACTGTAAATATGACTGTGGCATTAGTCATTACTGCAGACTTTGCTCACAGCAGTATTACAGTTCCTGACTAATTAATTAGGACTTCTGAGCCCGGTCAGGAGTGGCAACTGACCAGAAATATCTCTTCCACGTTCTCAGTTTATGCTGTGACTGTTGAAATAGAAACATTTTTTCCAGGTTCCCTGAAAAATGCAAGAGCTAGACGGAGGGAGGAAACTTGCAATGAATCAGCTTCCTCTCTGCCTTCTTTCTCTGCAATCTGGTATTTCCATGTGAAGTGATTATAAACCCATGCTAATAGAGAAAATCTTAGTTCCTCACAGGACAGAATCGAAGTGCAGAGAATGGAAAACTCAAGGCCACTGTTTTCAAAGCATAAACTAGTTTCAGCCTGGGAAGTGGTAGGGGATGGGTTTTAAATCTTCGCCTTACTCTCCCAGCTCCAATAACAGAGGTTCCTGGCATTCTTCAGTTCCTGCCCCTCCTGTGCATGGAAGACTCGCTGCTCTCAGTCCAGCTACTGGCAGGCTCTCCACATCCCTTGGACACTGTGCACGTGGATGCTGTGCTGTGCAGAGCATACACACACCCACACAAGGCTGGGCACAGACCCCAGAAACACATATGGCTCAGCCATGCAGCTGCCCTGAGCCAGCAGAGAGCATCTCACGGGGAGCTCCATAGGAGGAGACTGCTGGATGCTCTGAATTTGGGAGAAAGTGGGAAGAACTGAGGGTGGTTCATTAGGAAGATCATCTCATATTCAGTGGGATTAGTCAAATGAGCCTTGTTGGCCTTGAAGGATAAGGAAGAGACCTTAGTGTCCACCTAGAGATCCTGATCCCACCCATCTTCCTCCATATACATGACCTCTTCCCCTTCCCACAATAAGCAGAGCTGTTTGCAGGAGTGAGAAGTGCTCCCATGTAAGTAAGGCAAAAGCATAGACAATCTTTCAGGGGATCCAAGGCAGCTGGAAAGAAATGTGTCTCTGCTGCTTTGGAAACAGGGAGAGAGGACCCAGCCTAATTCATTTTTAAGTGAATAGTGTCATAAGGGCTTTAAAGGCCAAGTCTCGGTGAGTGAGGTAATGCAGCTGTAAGTGATGAAGCAAAAGCTCCTTCAGGCTTTAGCTGAAGAAATCTTTCTTTCAAATCTGCACATTGACCCTTTCATTGAATACTCCACATAGCCTTTGCTGCCTTTAAAATATCCTCATGTTTTTTACAGACTCCACCACTGCTCTGAGATATTCCCTAGTGCCATCAAATACCTGTCTGTCTGCTCACATGGGGCCACTAACAACCTCACAAAATATAGCCTTACCCAAGATCCTGACCTACAGGAGCACAGATGGGGTTTTCAGGAGGCCACTGGCTTTGTGTGAAGCAAAATGGTTTGGATCTGGGGGCAGTACTGAAGGCTGGGGGAGGATTTTGGATTTCTCCAGTAGCTGGTGCACAGATTTAACATAGTCACAGATAGACAGGCCATTTTAAAAGCTAGCAAAATACCCTTTTAACGGTCAAGCTGTTTCCAAACAGACTGAAAGGAGCACTGTGTTCATCAGGGACTAGGATGGCCTCTAACATGCTGCACAAAATATACAAAAGCTGCTTTCTTTCAAAGTGTGTTTGAATTGGCACTGACCTGATGCTCTAATACCTACCTGTACATAATCCACGCTTCTCCCCAGTGCTTTGAATGCTGTGTACATTACTTCTCTTTTTCCACCCCATTTCTGCATGATGCAAACACTTTTGTTGGACAGGACCAGCTGAGATACGTGTTGCATGCTTTCTCTGTGAGACTCCTCCGTCTCACCCGGACCTTTGTCGTGGAAGTTATTACTCCAGACATAAGTGGCACATGTGTCCCTACCCATGATTTCAGTGAAAATGTCCATCATGTAAACGTCATCTTCTGAGTTCCCATCAATGACCATAACAACTTTAATTCCAGGGTAGGTCAATCTTTTCACAGAAAGTAAACATTTTCTTAAGTAGTCAGGATCCTCTTGATAGGCAGCAATACAAAGGGCAACTGTTTTGTTCAGCTTGATTGGAGTCTCTAGCGACCGTTTCATTTTCCTGTGCTCTAGGTAGGCAAACAGGCTTTGGATGATGAGATGTGATGCCAAAATAGCACCATAGAGTCCAAAGGAGAAGTAGTAGTTGTCTGTTTGGATGAACTGGTAGCCTACAATGTAAGCAGCGGTGATTCCCAGCAGGAGGGACACTCCGAAGAGTGTGGTTCCAAGTATTCTCAGGATACATATAAACCTCTCACAATACATCTGCAAAGAAGATAGGGAAACCATTAGCAGAGCCACCACGTGCTGATGTGAGGTCTCATAAGCGGTTCACATGGCCACAACACAGAGCTCAGTGTCAACAGATACACCCTGAGCTTCTGGCTCACAGACTTATAGCATCACCTTGCTCAGCTTAACATCTCTTTGCAGTAATTTCTCCATGTAAAGGATGACCCAAACGCACTTAGTGTAGCAGAGATGTTTGCTATTTGTAATGTCCTCACAGAAGTTGCTGTCTGTGTCAGGATCTTATTTTGGCAGCCTGGGCTTGCTGGATGAGGCGCTCTGTCGTATTACCCTCAGGAGGTTGGAGAAGGGGCTCTTGGGCCACCACTCACTTCATACAGTCACAGGAGAGTGGAACAGCTGAATGTCTGGGCAGCCCCTCCTCATCCCCCATCCATGTCATGACTGCATCCCACCCTGAATTGTTTCAGTCGCTTAGTTATGTTTGCAAAAATATTGGAAAGACATTCTTAAAACAGATGTCTGAATGTATTTATAATTTTTTAAACAGATGTCTGACTATATTTATAATTTATATTTATATAATCAGACATATGCTTTAAAAGGTCTTCTCAATACCATTGCAAAAATGTATTATTTATACATATGTGTACATAGACATATGCACACGTGAGCATGTGTGTATAGGGGATAAAGCTTGACTGAGATTAAGTCTGTGGCAAAAATACTCTTAAATTTAACAGAGCCAAGACTCCACCCTGGACTCAGAAATTCATTAGGCCATCATTTGATTCTAACCACTTCTACATACTTAGGTTACCTGGGCTGTAAAATCTTCTAACCTAAGCTCTGGGCTGTGGCTGGCATGGAGGGTGCTCTGGTATTCATGAGACAAACACTGTAGACAGGCAGACAGGCAGATTATATTGCTACCTTACTGCTTTCTGTTGACAATCACATTAACAATTTTATGCTTTCTCAGAATTACAGGAAGTTAATGACAACGTTCTCTGTCAATGGATGCATTTAATGTGAAGGACATAAACCAGATAATGTCTGTTTAAGGCTAAACCAGCAAGTGTGTTGCAATTCAATAAAGCTCATGCTTGAGTATTTTGCTGAATTAGATCCTCTCAGAGTAATGGACTTAATATTTGTGTTTTCTTGCTATTATTCATATTTTCCCTGCTGCTATCATCTTACTCGTCTGCTGATCATATTTGTTTCACCATCTGCTGGCCAAAGCTGAAGTTGGAACAGGACTTCCTTACATCATATATGTTTTTAACTCTTTACTGAAAAATTACTACCAAGGTGCAGCAACATAGCTGTCATCAATTATATATGTCTGACAAGTTACAGGCTTGGAAAAAAAAAAAAGCCAACAGAGAATCACTTACAAAATAAAAATAAAACCAGGTGAACATGAAGTTTGAGGTTACAAAGACTTTACTTTTTTTCCACTGGTTATTTAGGGTCTTGAATTTCAAGACAGAGGGAAGCCTCTTAAATGTATATTTGGAGGCACTGTTAAAGAAATCTGACCCTATCTTTATGACTTCCTTGAATACTTATAGCTAGGCTCTGACAGGTGCTGTAATCATCCACCAGCAGAAGGGACCATCCCTGCTCTGGCCTGTCTGAAAATTTTTCACAGTGGGGGTCATAGAGAAGCCTAAGAAAAGATATGCTTACCATCACTGGTATATATGAACTAAAACCCAATGCCTAAATTAGACTTGCTTTAGAAAACAGATTAAGTAATGGATCTCCTTCTAGATTACTCTAAAGTCAAATAGCTTGTGTTTACTAATCCCTCAAGCATGCAAAATGTCATAAACATCAAGGTTAATGTCTCATTAATAGTGCAGTTGTACCCTGTTTCCCCTTTTGGGGTTCACCACTTCTTTTCTCTTGCCAGAAATAGAACATTTGTATTAGTGAGTAGGGGGCAAAGCCTTCTTACATTAACAATTATATGGCTGAAATAAATGGACCACTGATGGGTAGAAGTCACAGGATTTAGATTAGGATCTGGAGTGGTTACATTTGACTGCCTATATACTGTACCAGGCATCTTTTATACTACTTTGTTATTCCTTTTCTCTACCTATGAAGTGCTTCTGCAAAAAGGAAAATAAAAAGGAATAATTATCTGATCTTGTCATTACAGCCCAGCTCCCCTCTGTTGCAGACCCCCAGTCCTTTAAGATCAAGAAATGGATTTCTGGTGCTAATAAAACAGCATTTTTTTCTATCCTTTCACTGTCATCCTTAGGAAAATAAATGATGTTTTGATCTAAATTCCTGGCTTTCATCAAAGAAACATTCCTCTTTGTATGTGCAATTGAGGTTTTTATGTATAGTCTTTTAACTGACTGAATCTCAGGGAAACTCTGGAAAAAGTTGCTCAATATTCTCAAGCTTTAACACGTGAGCTATTGATAGCTTGCCCAGTAGAAATGATCTTTATCAACTTGAACATGCCCAAACAATGGCAAAGAAGCCAAAAACTCTCCACCCTTCTCCAATAACTGAGCCAAGAAGTTAAAAGGAAATGATGCTTGTACAAGTCTGGGACCAAAAATGAACTGCTGAGTCAAATACTAGCACCAAGAGTAGGGAGTAGCTGCATTAGAGATTTTTAAGTCAGACAGTGCTGTTATGAGCATCTAGCCTGGCCTAACAAATTCAGTACAAATTTCAGAACTTTCAGAACTTAAATGTCTTCTACTCACCTACTACCTCATCCTGAAAACACCTAATTTTCAAATGAACACTAGTTAGTTTTTACTATTAACTGCTTCTATCCATGATCGAAGCCTTTAGTTTTGTCATGGCTGTAACTATGTTTCTTTCTTACTTATGAGACATCAGCATTCAGAAAGTTAGCCTTTTCTAGTCTATCACCGCTTTTGACTTAACAGCCCACATACTCAGGTAGGATCCAGATGACAAATAGAAACCAGTCCTGTGAGAACCGAAAGTCTGATCTTTCCCCATCGTACAGATGTATCAAGACAAGGTTTACTCACAGGACTTTTGGTATTCCTAGGGCTGGTTGCTCTCAGGCCTTCCTGCTAGAACTGGGTTGCACCCAATGTTCAATCCAGCCCATGCGAATTATTAATAGGAACATACAACTTACAGTGAAACGTAATAATTCTATTTTGCAATTTGGGCACCTAAATCTTTTGCATGCACCTTCCCCTAACTCCATGGTGCTGAGCCCAGTATGAGCTTTATGCAGCCTCCAGCAACCACTCTCCAGTTTTGTATAAACAAGATGAGTGTATGTAAAGAGGCTTCAAAGTCTACTGTGGAGCAATTTGTTGTCATGATATTGCAGCTGTTTACTTTCGTGGATGGAGCTGAGCAGTGCTCACTGGCATAACTAGTAGAAATGAAAATGAAAGTCATATGCTAAATCCTAATGCTGTGTAGGCTGTTGCTGATTCACTCACACATTTTTGATTCACCAAGAGGTCCCAAGTATATATGTGCCTTGTGCTGACTATACAGGAGGAGCCAATGTGCCTTTCTTTGGATACTCTTTTGGAAAAGCATGGCCAATAAATGAACTCTTGCATGTACTCAGCATCAGAATCCACCTAGTGAACTCTTTGGCATTGTGTCTCTTTTGGCACCCTGATAAAGCCACAAAAAGAGTATTTTCTTGTCAAACCTGTGAAGAAGGAGAACTTATTCTACATTAAGATCAAGAACTGGCATGACTAAAAGTTGTAGTCTTCTAACATCATTTTCAGAAAACAAAATCAGGTTAACAAATGAGTGATACCTACTCTCTACATATAATGATGGGGGTATTAACTTCAGCACTAGAGATCACACTCCTTTCTCAGACTGAATAATGCCTTAGATCTCAGATTAGAAGAACATAGCAAAATATGCTGCAGCTCTCTCTATTCTGAGAAATATTTAGGCTAGCAGTTAACTGTAGTTATGCTACATAGATCTAACTTTAATAAGATCTAGACACTTGATTGAAATTCAGCAGGTTCTTATGTCCTGCTTTGGACTGGGTCTTTCCTCAGCAAAGAATGCTGGTGACTTCCACGGTAAAGTACCACTCCAAAATCATATAGCACAGTCTGTCCATATGGTTATTAACCAGCTTTCATGGATTCCTGAGAGTAACAGGACCTGAAGACAACTCATCCCTTTGCAAAATCAGGAGGCATAGAGAAAAAAAGAAAAGTGTATTTTTTTACTAATACATCAAGAAGGTAACAAACAGATAGGGTCAAATAAGTATCCAGAAACCATATGTGCATTGGTGTCTGAAGACATCAGTATTATCTGAAGTCTCTTCCCTTATTCTAAAGGAAGCAACCAGGTGGTGCCTGGCATCTGCTGATACATAACATGGAGCAAGTGACTGATGGGAGGTCAAACTGAAGTTATGTTTGCTTGTAACACATGAGGACGCAGATCACTACATCATCTCTGTCAGAAATCACTTTCCATGCATAACATTTAAACATTACCACATAGTACTTTTGGATAGCTTTTCCCCTGAAGATTAAAAAGCAAGAGGGGGAGTCACAGAAAGTTTGTATATCACATGTAATGATTTAGAAGGTTGTTTGAAAGAATTAGCACTTATTAATTCCAAACGTATGAAGACATTTTAAAAAATCTCAGCCATAAGCTGCAAAATTCAATATCTATCTAGGAGACAACAGTAAAAGTTCAATCACAAATGTTTTCCCTGTATTGGATTTGGCCGAGATGGAGTTAATTTTTCCCACAGCAGTCCTCATAGTGCTGTGCTTTGCATTCGTAGCTAAGAAGGCGTTGAGAACACCAGTGTTTTGACTACTGCTAAGCAGTACTCTCACAGCATCCAGGCTGTCTCTCCAGTGTTTCCCCTGCAGAAGTTTACTCGGGGTGGGCAAGATCCTGGGAGGTGACATAACCAGGACAGCTGACCTCAACTGACCAAAGGGTTATTCCACACCACATGACATCTGCTCAGATATAAAAGCTAAAAGGAGGAGGAGGGGGAGGAATTTATTATGGCTTTTTTTTTTTTTTTCCAGAGCAACTGCTACCTGTACTGAAGCCCTACTTCAGGGATGTGGCTGAACATCACCTGTTGATGAGAAGTAGAGAATAAATCTTTTGTCTTCCTTTACTTTCTACACGGCCTTTGCTTTATTAAGGTGCCTTGATCTCAGCCTACCAGGTGATCTTCCATCGTATTCTCTCTACCCACATCCTGCTGAGGACTGGAGGGATAGAGCAGCTGGGAGGGCACTATGCAGCCAGCCAAGGCCCACACACCACAGTCCCCTTTACCTATAAAGGTTCAAAAGATCTGTGCCTCTCTCTAGCCATCTAGGGCTATGGTCACATCAGCAAATAGTCTAACACTACAGAAACAGATCTGCTGAGGGCCCAACTGCACCCTCCGTACATTTCATGTTTTACTCTGAACGAAGTATAGTCAGACTCCATGCACTTAAAACCTGAGAAGTATCCCCTAGGAGTGCACCTTGCCATTAGTTCATTCAAGAGGAATTTAGTTTGGGTGCCCAGTGATTGCTTCGCAAAAGAAACTCAAGCAATTTAGTTGGAGGGGGCGCATTTGTAGCATTGGCTTCAATAGCACACTCTCAATTCAAAATAAATTGATAATACAAATCAACTTCACACACAGGTCTGCAGATCAGATTGTCTGCAATCCCTGTTGAAACCAGAAGTCCTGAGCACAGGACTTTTCAAAAACCTTTGAAAATGTCTCATTTTTACATGCCTGTATCAAAGGTGAACTTCTGAACATCTACTGAACCTTAATGCTGAGGCTTTAGATTCAGCAAAACATGTAAGCATGCCATTAAAGATAAGTGTGCATTTAGGTATCTTGCAGAAGAGGGAAATCAGTGGATAATATATCTTGCAATTTTGTAGTAAAGGCGTAAAAAAAAATCTTTCTCTGTGAAGATAACTATTTCTGGGACACTCAAGATAAAAATGTATGTATATGTTTGAGAAATTTCTTACAGAGATTAAGCTCCCTTATGAAGGTTGTTAGATGGGTCAGTGTTAACCACTGCATTTCTTACGTTAGGGAATCTAAGAGTGGATCAGGACCCAGATAGTTTTGATTTGGTTCCTAGTTTGTTATTCACCTGCAGGGTAACCTTAGGTGAGGGAATTCACTTCACCTGTAAAATGGGAATCATGATCATGCAGGAAGCTTTGGGAGGTCTACAAAACCCTTCATAAGGCTTAGGTTACTGATAGTTTGCAGTGTTACTCTTTCTGGTGTGATATGGGATCCACCATTTCTCTAGTTACCCAACACACCATTTCCTATTTTCCTTGCCTATATTCACTTGAAGGTATACTCAGTACGGATTTGTCTGCAACAAAAACGCAACTCTCAACCAACAGGACGCCTGAGATCAGTGAGATTGACACCATAAAAGCCGACACACGTGGCTATAAGTGCATACAGCTACCAAGGGCTATTTTGCGCACAACCAAGGGAAGAATGTCATCTTTACAAGCCTTAAAACCTCCATCCTTACTTATGAGAATAATAGCATTGGCTTCATCAGAGCAGCTGCTTCAATTACACAAGTGTGTGTGTGTGTGTGTGTTTGTGTGTGTGTTTGTGTGCATGAACATATTGTATCTGCCCTACAGACACACACTCTGTGTGTGTACATGGTGTTGGAGGCTTACAATTTTCCAGCCAATATTTATATTCATTATTAACCTTATTTTGATGATAAATTAAATCATTTATCCTTGGAGTACAAATTATTCCAGGTAAACATTAATTACTAGCATAAAAGTAGCTGTCCAGACTCCCTCTTCTATTCTACAGCCTGCAGAGAGGGAACGGAAGAGTTGTGCTCCATCTGTACATATTTATTACAGCACAGTTACTATATCTGATACTTTTGGTTATTTATCACTTCCAGATTTTGTTATGCTATTGATCTTCTGGAAAAGGCTCACATTAGTCTAAAATTAACTCTGGGGTTAAGTTTAAAGCAAAGAACAGGATTACTAATGATGGCAAAGTATATCTGTATGCACAGGCTTTGATCAGCAAATCAAGAATCTCCTGCCTGATCAATGTATGTTTCCCACTAAACTGCCTAAATTTAGTCTTCTACAGATTTGAGTAACCAATATGGAATGAATTTTACAGCTGCTGGTTGGATTTGACTGTAATGTAGACAGTGATAGAGTAGTTGTTAAATTAGGGAAAAAAAAAAAAAAAGAAAGAAAGCAAAAGAAAACCAACAACTCCCCCCAAACAAATGCTTTAAGAAAAAAAGGGAGTAAATCATACTGCTACTCAGGTATTTTGGACTATGGTTAAACAAAATCTAGTTCAGAAATATTTTCTGCTTGCCAGTTATGAAGTCCATGGATGCACAAACTTGACTACTTCATTACTGAATCCAGCAAATAAATACTTATTTGCTGTACACAGCTTATTATCTTGTAATTTGGTCATACCTTGTTTGATGTAGTCAAGTCCCACTACACTGAATGGAGGACTACTTTGCTGCTTTATAAACTAATCTTTAATAGCAACACATTGAAGCAAATGTCCTTTCATGCCACAGTTTTTTGCTAGTGAACTTGCATGGAAAACTCCACTGAAACCAGCAGAGCTGCTCTTTCTACTGGGAAAACCTTTCCTCAGGTTTTTCTCTGTTTGCATGCAGGGTAAGAAAGATTTACTACCCTGAGATAAAATCCTGGCTTTATTGACACCAGAGACAAAACTCCTCTAGCCTAGGGGGAGTGCTGAATTTTGCAGTTTTTCAGGGAAAGAGAACATATTTCACTGCCATCACCCTCAGATGAAGTAACCTAACCAGTACCTAAAAGAACCCGAGGCACCCATGTTACACTTCTGAAAAAGTGCATGGGTGCCAATGGAAAAATGATCCTTAAGGAAGGAGACAATGAAGCTGAGCGAAACACAGAGGAGCAGCTGAGCCCTGGGAGATGTGGTATAGCTACAGCCCTGAAGAATCACAGAACTGCTAAGGTTGGAGATCATCCAGTTCCAACCTCCCTACCAAGGCAGAGTCACCCAGAGCAGGTGACACAGGAACACATCCAAGTGGGTTTTGAATGACTCCAGAAGAGAGGGAGATTCCATGACCTCCCTGGGCAGCCTGTTTCAGTGCCCTTCCACCCTCAATGGAAAGTTCTTCCTCATGTTGAGGTGAAACTTGTGTTTTAGTTTATGGCCACTGGTTCTTATCCTTTCCCTGGGCACCACTGAAAAGTCTGGCACTATCCTTTTGGAACCCACCTTGGAAATATTTATGTGCATCGATGAGATCCCCCCCTCAGTTTTCCCTCCTCTAGACTAAGACAACGCCCATCGGGAGTGCTGTACTACATCGGGGTCCTCTCGGGGGAAGGGGAACGGGGTAAATCTTTCTGCCAGCACTGCTATGGAGCGTGGCGAGGTGAGTCACTGCAGTGCCCGAGAGACACGACCGGACTCTCGGACAGGTGCCGGGCAGGGCTGTCGGGGACAGGGGGATGGGGTTTGCCGGGGAGGGGCCCGGGGGCCGCGCCGTTCGGCGGGCGGTGCCGAGACCTCGGCGGGGCCGCTCCGAGGGGGATCCCCGGCCCCGCCGCCCGCGGGGGCGGTGCTGCTGCGTCACGGGGGGGCGGGGCCGGGGATCCCCCGCGCCGCCACGTCACGGGGGGCGGCCCCGCTCCGCCCGCGATGGGGGCGGCGGGACCCGCGCCGTGCGGGACCCCGCGGGGCCGTCCCAGGCTGCGCTGGCGCTGCCTTCGCCCCCCGCGAAGTGCGACCCTCCCTCGGCCACCCCCGCCGCCAGCGCGGGTCTGGCCGGCGGGCGCCCCGCCGGGGCGGGGCCGAGCGGGCGTGAGGCGCTGGGAGCCCCCGCCCCCTGCATCCCGCCTTCCCCGAACCTCCCGAGCTCGGGAATCCGCCCTCCGCGCTCGGCGCGGCGCCCCGGCGGCTCGGGAGCGCTGGTTTCACCGCTCTGGGGCGGGACGCCCGCCCCGCTCCAGCCCCACGCCGCCGCCTCGCCTCCCTCCCTCAGTCCCATCCCTCCCGCCGCTCCTGTCGCGTCCCCCGCCCGGCCCTGGATGCGCAGCCGGGGAACTGCCGGAGAGAACCCCATCTGGGTTCTCAGCTGGTCTAGCCTTCCCTTCTGGGCTCAGTGGAGTAGCTGCCTAACCTGCTCCAGATTTTAATTTTAGGGTCTTTTGGGAGGTTTTGTTTTTGGTGGCTTACCTCGTCCTTCTACACCCCCCCTCCCCCCCCCTTCCGATCTTGGAGCTCAGCAATGTCTTAAACGGATTACACGGAGGAGGGGTTGAAGCTGAAAACCTCATTCATCCTCACGACGGTCCTATTCATTGCTGAAATAGGTGTAGCGTAGAAGCCGGTAAGATCCTCCCCCAGCCCCACTCGTATTCTGGGGATCTGTTTCAGCTTTCCTGCCTTGAATAGTGGGGATGGGAGGAGGGGGTCTTCTGCTCTTGAGCTGACAGAAGCGTAATCATAAATCACCTACCTTGTTTGTCCTTCTGTCCTTTGGTCATAGAGGGGCTCCAGCCAACTGTGTGGTCTCACGTACCGTTGCTCCCGCTGAATAGTTTCCAAGTTTGAGGTAAAAAAAAATCAAATCGCACTTTTCAGGGACTTACTGAGACGCTCAGAAATAAAAAAAAATAATTAAAAATGAAAATAATAAAAAAGTCGTTTAAGGCTATTCAGTCCTACTCATTTTCTCCCACGTGTTTTCACAATTACCATGTATTTGTCTTTCTCTGCTTCAGTTTCTAGCTCAAAGTTGTGGGATTTTTTTCCCCGAATAATGTAATAATAATAATAATAAAATAATAATAATAATAAAGTTAGAAGTAATAAATTAGGAGTTAGTTTCTCGTGGTCGAAGCTGAAGATCTTATTTCAAACCCGACTAGCCAGGAGCCTGGAGAAGTTGCAAGGCAGCGTCTGAAAGTTTGAGATGTACAGCATCAGATAAAGTCTCTTTGGTGATACCTTGCTGCCCGAGTAACAGTTTCAATGAGGTTTCTCAGCAGCAGCAGCAGCAAACGGGTAATATTTTCCAGACGTCTTTTCCTTTCCTGCTGCTGCTGCTGCTTTTCTGCCTCTTCCACGTTATGGGGTCTTTTAACAAGTGAGACTTGAGTTGTTTTAATAGGCGGAGGATGGGAAGAAGGAGGGGAGGGAACTCCTGTAAGGAGGAAAAAAAAAAAAAAAAGCAACCAACCCTGCCCATTGAAATGATCTCAGCCAAGGACCAGTTCAGCGTCAGAAATTTAATTAGCTACTTGCAAATTTTGCAGAGAAATGCAATACACATATGTTGCCACCAACTGGTTTCCTCTTCATGCCCCGCACTGGGGGAAGCCCCCACTTTCCCTACTCCCTGCATCCCTCGGCTTGGGGTGTGGGACTCGTCCCTCCCACAGCCACTATTCGGTTGAGACAGTTGTTGCTGCTGCTGGTTTTTATTAATAGGGGAATTGCCTCTATGAATGGATGAACTTTTCAGTTTTCAGTCCTGCTTTACCCATTCACTCACGGGAACATTTGTTGTAGCAAAGACCCAAGGAAGCTCCCACTGACCTTCATACCCATGCCTCTCGCGTTAAAACAAGCCGTTAGGAAACACGTTAGGCCATTAAAAAACTGGAAAACTGTGGCGTGGGTTTTGTTTGGGGGTTTTGTTTTGGGTGGTTTTGACTTGTTTTGTTTTAAATCAGAATTGTCCACTCTTCTCTGTCGATGGTTCCCGGTAGCCGGGGGCACCCGCAACTCACAGCACACCCCACTGCTGCTCACCAGCAGCTTTCACTCGCTCCTTGTGACTCCCTTCTGCCTTAAAGGCGGGTTTCCCCGCTCTCAAGTCCCCGTTTCCACTTGAGATGATACAAAAAAGGCACTGGGTGGCACTGTTGAGGCGAGTGGAGCAGCGCGGGGTCCGGGATCCCCCAGCGCCGGGTGCGGGGCTGGAGAGGGGCCGCGCTGGCGCTGCCGCGTCTCGCCCTGCCCTGGCGGGGACCCGCGGGGGAGGATGGCGGGGATCAGCTTCCAATTCCGCCGTGCTGTTTTCTCAAGGACCACAAAGGTCGCTGCTCTGAGGCGTCGCGCCCACAAAGGGAGCCGTGTCCAGACACCGTTGGGAAATCCGGAGGTGACTCTTTGCCGAGTTATCGCCTGTCGTTACCTTACCGTGTGGGAAAACTTCGGAGCCCTCTGGGGGCTTCTCATGTGCAAATAATTGATTTAAATTCGGTGGTTACCTAGACTGGAGATTTTTTGGGAACCTACCTTGTGGAAGTGGTTAGAGCACAGGTGTGCTCCAAGGGGAGAGTGGCTTTAGGATGTTGCATCAAAGCTGAGATCCTTGAATGATCCATCTGTCTAAAATAACAAGTCTGATGATAGTTTAAGTCAGTATTGTGAGCAGTTTTAACCTCAATGTGGCAGGGAAAGCATCTGTTTCACCCTTGCCTTCACTATTCCTTTTCCAACATCAGGAGAACGAACCTAGGTTAGAAATTAGTTATTTGGGGAGAGGGAACAGCAAAAATGTAAGAAGTACCTTGGGCAGGGTGAAAGCAAGACAACTGCTTTTAGCAACCATCTGATTTTTGATGGTTTAGAGTGTCCTTGAAAGTACAGCATGACTTAGCAAGCATGGAGTCTATCAGGGCTTTCAGGCATTCCTCCTTTTCAGACCTTCTTCCCTAGACAGCCCCATTCCCATACTCCAACCACCTCCAAATGATCTGTGTCACACTATCTTTTGTTACAGAGTCTCTCTCATTAGGCAAGGGACACACTGCAGTGTCTGCTCCAGAAGGCCAGAAGGGTGTCAAGAAGGCTACTTGACGCCCTCTCCACAGCAGCCTTCCTACTAGCCAATATGTAGTGTAAGCCAGGCTTACAACATGATCATAGAATCATAGAATGTTAAGGAGTTGAAATGGATCTTAAAGATCATCTGGTCCCACCCCTCCCATTGCCATGGACACTTTCCACTACACCAGGTTGCTCAAGGCCTTATCCAACCTGGCTTTGAACACTGCCGGGGTTGGGACACCCACAGCCTCTCTGGGAAACCACCCTCACAGTCAAAAATTTTCCTTCTAATACCTAACTTAAATTTCCCCTCTTTCAATTTGTAGCCATTGCTCCTTGTCCTATCACTGCAGCTCATGAATAACGATAAATGTTTAGTTTTTATCCAGGCAAGGAGCTACCTCGTCAAGCTCCACTACTGTCATACGCGTAACCATGTCCTTGATGTCTATGTGAGTCCTAAAGTGTGATCTCCTGACATCAGAGAGGCAAGAGAGGATTAAGTGGTAACATGGGTGTCCCTAGTCCATCCTTCAACACTGCTACCTCAACACTGTGCCTTGGGGAGCTGTTGCTGCCAGTGTCTCTGGGTTCCTCGGGCGCTTGGTTGCCTTGTCTTGATTCAGGGACATGTATGCCCTGCACAGAGGACTTCGTTTCTAGGGCAATTTCTGAAATGAGGTTTCAGGAGGAGACTGGGCTTGTTTGGTTTAGTTTGGTTAATAACCAAATGTTACAAATTAATTTTTTCAAATGAACATTTGTTACAAAGGAACTAACTTTTTTTTTTTTCGTTTTTAATTCCACCAGTTTAAATTTTTTAATTCCAGTTTAAATTTTTAGACTGCACACCTCCTTTACTGATGACTGTATATTACTCTGGAAATACACTGTCCCGTTGGCTTAATCCCATGCTCTTTAGGTTTGAACAGGGATCAGGAAACAGAGCCTGGTGAGGCACAAATCTTCGTGCATCAATAGCAGCACTTAAATCACACCAAAATTTTTCTTTAGAAAATGACATAATGGGAATGGTGAGTCTCTCATGTCCACAGCTATTTCCTTCTCAGCCATACCTCATGTTGTGTGATCACCCTGTCAGGGCAAGCGGGATAATGTAGGTTGGTAAGTTAGGTTTGCCTACCAGGAAGGAATTAAAAGTAGGAGGATATGATTAATGCCAATCCACGCAATCCTATAGAAACCAGATGCAGATGTGTTTCATTAGAACTATATCACATCTACGTTTATATGTTATGTTACATCTACATGGTTACCATTATCAAACAACCCTGCTTTCTAATTGTGATTTATAATCATAAGTAATGAGGAAATGGGAGTTCTTGGCTGTCACTGTCCACAGGCATACATTATCACCAGCTGTAGAGAATAATCTTAATTTACTAGCCTAACAATTTTTTAATGAGATGATAGGTGTGTTTGACAGAGGTCAGACAAAATATATTTTTGGGAGAGTTTGGCATAGGCTATGGTTGAATAAATTGGTTACTGAAGATCAAATTAGTGGATGAATTGATGGCACGTAAGCCACTCTTTAGCAACCATGAGTACTCACTTTTACCCTGAGGGAATGGCTCCGTACGCATTTCCTCCTCTCTTCTTCACTGTCACCCTTAAGTATGTGAATTCTTGCCTCCAACATACACCACACACACACACACACACACACACACACACACATGTCAATCTACTCCCTCCCTTAGAACAGCAGAGTTTGCAGTGCTTCACTGATCCCTTCAGTGACCTGTTCTGAAGGCAGAGCCGAGCCATCTCCTGTGTGCACGTGTGAACTGGCTGTGCAGGGGACAAGGCTGCTCTTGGGTGGAAACAAGCAGCCAGCGGTAGCTGACAGCAGGATTACCCCAAACAGCTGCCTTGTTGCCAGGAGAACAGGAGCGGAGGTGGTCCCTCAGTGAAGGTGAGGGCTCTTATCTCACATCATCCCTCAGGTAAGGATTTATACAGGCTCTTTTACTGCAGATCAGCTACTGTGTAGAGCTTATCAAAAAGAAAAGCATGGAACAAACGCTTTGCAATGCATAGTTACCTTCACAGTAAGAAAATGAGAGAAAATAAGATTCTTTGTGTCTAAAAGAGGAAGACAAACGTATTCATGCTAGTCATAAGGCACAGTTTAATAGCAAGCTTTCTTTAAACAGTTATCTGAATGATGAAGGGGAGTGGTAGATTCCTATGTTTTGAAATCCTTTGGAGGCTTTTTTGGAAGCTACATTTCAATTCAGTGCAATTTATTCGACCAGTACAAGAATAGCTGGATGGATTTCCATAACAGGGATGTCAGACAAAGTGATCTAGCAGTTCCTTCTACCCCTAGACTCCATGAAACTATCAACAACCAGGCTGACATGTCAGGTGTGTTCCACACCTGTTTCCACACGTAGCAGATTCTGTTGGAAGTGGGAGAGTTACAGAAACCAATATGGGTGCAAGTGAAAGCAGGATCATGCCCTAAATTATGGGTTTACGGCAACTGAAAAACCACTTACAGATTTTAATATAAATGTCATGGGCAGTTCAAGGCTTATGAAGACTGGGTGCAGACAGACATAACACTGTAGTAGTTTTCACCATACATAGAACCATTTTAGAGGCTTCCAGTGTTCCAGGTATTTAAATCCAAGATTATTTATATGCAAAGCTTTACAGGGTCCAGAGAAAACCATTGGTCTTTAAAATTAAATCACTCTTACAAAACTGAAACTTTCCAACAGTTTCTCTTTGTTATAGCAGAGAAAGTCATAACTCAAAGCAACAGTTAGAAGTTAAATAGAGGCCAGTTCAGACTAGAAACAAGTCATGCACATTTGGATGTGTCCAGAACTCTTGGCTAGAATGGACTGTGACTATCAGCACAAATGCCTGTCAGGATGGTTTGAAGTAATGAGTTTTAATGTGCAACCAGCATGGAGCAGAAGGAAAAGCAGGTCAGTTAGAGGTTTCTTATGTGAAGTCTAATTTAAGAGAAATTACTTAATCACATGCCTATAGTCTAATGTGACAGTAGTGAGAGTCCAGTTTAGAATGTCTTAATGTTACTTTTAAGCAGAAGCATTATATTTTGTGTAGGATTCATAGATAACACCATATGAAACAAAAAGCACGTGCAATTAAAGATAGATCTATAAACAATGACTTTACTGGTGAACTAGACTGACCAGAGCCAGGCAGCTCAAGGTTGGCACATGTTAATCCACGCTATTTCACTGCTGCCAAGCTC